AATTCAGTTTCAATTTAGTGAAGTTTATTTTCTAACCAATGCATTCAATTTCAAATTATGAACATTCAGATTCAATCTGAACAATTCAAAATCAATTCCTGCTGGCACAAGTTTTATCCCATACCATTATTTTAATTTGAAACTTGAGCAAATAAATGGACGTCGATAGGCAGAAATGATTTAAAAATGCTTTCATTTATGAAAATCTAAAGATTAAAACTTGTTTTATCTGATGTGTTCTGTTTATTCACACTCAGATTCAGCTCCTGTTGGCACAACATTTATCCCACAGCTTAGCTCCTGAATCTTCAGATGCTCAGAGGAAACATGGAGGAGGTTCAAACCTGCAGAGCGTCCTGGTACTGAACAGAGGCCGTCATGGCGTCCTCCAGTCGCTCCATCCTGTCCCTCCAGGTCCGGTTCAGACCCTCCCAGGCAGCGTTCATCTGAGAAACAGGAGGTTTGTTTATGATTGTTTAAATGACAGAATAATGTTTGTTTTATCAGAAAGTTCTCACCTCATCGATCGTCTTCTTCACTTCAGGTTTCTCTGTTTCTCCACAGGCAAAGATGAGGTCAGCTCCGAGGGTCCTGACGAACTCCAGCTCCTCCCGCAGGCCATCTGTCTCCGCCTTGATAGCCTGATAAACACGGTGACGTCATTTCACCTCAAACAGAAACCCCTTCTGCCTCTCTTAGCTCCGCCCCCTCCGTACCTCAGCGGCTTCGATCTGCTGCTTGATGAGCGAGGGGTCGACTCCGGGGTCCTCCAGCTCCCTCACGATGTCCTGCGAGTCTCTGAGCGTGCTCAGCAGGGCCGCCACRTCGGACCAGAACTTCCCGGCCAGGTCCAGGACGTCGTTCAGCTTGCTCTCCCGGTCCTCGGCCCGCTGCCGGATCTCGTCCCACAGGGAGCGGAGGCGCAGGAGGCGGGACCGGACGGCTGCAGGGAGCGAGGAGGTCAGCAGGAAGTACTTCCAGGTCTTAAATCAGTTTTTGTTTGTTGAACAGAAACTCACCCTGAGCTGCGGGGTCGTCGTGGGCCGCCCGGCCGATCAGCTCCTCCCCGCGGGCGCAGAGGGCCGAGAAGCTCGGCAGCAGCTTGTCCAGCTCCAGGCCCTGGGCGCGGTGCTCCGCCAGCTGCTCCCGGATYTTCTCCACCTCCGCCGCCACCGGAGGCGGCTGCCGCAGGCGCTGCACCGCCCCCTCCAGGGTCTCCAGCAGCGGGTCCATCTTATCGTGGAACTGGGAGGAGGGAGGAGCGAGGGAGGGAGTTAGACGAGGAGGAGCGAYGCGTGGCGTGGAGGAGCAGAGCGGCTGACATTTTGAAAGTGAGAACATCCTGAGACGGTGTGCGGGCGGGACATCTGCCTCTGACCTGCTCTGAAACACTGATTTAACTTTTACTCCTTAAAGATCCACTAATTTACAGATGTCTGTTAGATCATCTCTTCTTCCTCACTTCATCTCAGCTTCACTTTCATCATGTCATCCAGTTTGTAACGAAAACTAAACTAAGATTTAATACAGGAAGGGAAAAAACACAAAACAAACACGATCGACCCGTTAGCTGCTGGTTTATAACGAATCTGAGGGAAGTTAAAACTAATCTGATTAAATCTTATGGGATAAATSTYGTGYCAGCAGGAACTGAATCTGAATTGCTCAGATTGAATCTGAATGTTCATAATTTGAAATTAAATGCATTGGTTTGAAATAAATTTCACTAAATTGAAACTGAATTTAAAGTTTTGTATCTGAATTAATTTGCTTTGAAACTGTATTTTGGTTTATTAAAAAC